GTTGGACTGTGCTGTGTTTGCTGGCATAAAGGTATATTCTTGCCACGTTTTCACTCAGCTGCATGTTTGAAAGCCTCCAAGTGGGACTTCTCTACAACTCCCGTAAAAGCGCTGAAGTATACACAACACTTTGTGGCTTGCAATGCAATGCAGTTCTCGAGGGGATGTTGGGGGTCATAGTAATCGTCAATGGGTGGGCATTCATCCTACGGCTTCTCCATGCCCTCTCTGGCGCGAGCATCTACTTTCTTGTTCTGGAAAAAAGCGCTATAGTGGCGGTGAACGATTTTGGGGGTATCTTCATAGTGACGCTGCTGTTACTCCTGGGTGCTTCGGCTTGCAACTACATACTTCTAGGTATGGAACCACTTCAGGCCCCGACATGATGATGCTCTCTTATTTTCTCTAAGCGTTTTGCATTCGCATCCAGAGAAAGTGCCTGAGAGACTGAGTGAAACAGCAAAAGAGCATTTGCTTTAGGCCGTTTCTGCCGTGCTCGGTGGCTAGTTTAGGAGTGATGCAGCCCACACAGTTGTAGGGGTCGCAAATGAAGGTTGTTGTTTCCTCCGCAGCTTTCCACACTTTGTCAGGTCTTTTTTATCTGTTTCTGTGGTATCGATGCAGGTCCTCGCGTTCCGCAGTTTCAAAACTTCGGCTCATCAATTTTCTACACTGTATGTTCAAGCTTCGGCGCTCCGTTCATTTACTCAATGCCTCCCGTTGCGTTCATCGTGGCCGCCATTAGCCTGCTTGTATTTTGGGCAGTCATAGTTCCCATGTTGGTCGCAATCCATATCCAGTCGTTCAGCGCCGTTGTCAGAAAGGTCCGCGAAGAAGAAAGACAAAACCTTGGTGAGCTAAAAGCAAGGAGGCTACTCACTCACTTGTTGTTGCTTCTGTTGAGTCCGTTTAACACTGTGTTTTCGAGATACTTTTGATCTCACGCTCTCTCATTGTGAAGCATTTGTCTGTGTGCAAAGCTTTCTATTGACATCTATATATTAAGAAAATGGCACATTTTTTCGTCTTCCAGCGAGTGGAAAAAATATTGATGTGCTGAACAAGAACCGTCGTCTGTGTGCATTATCACCCTAAATGTCTTTTCAGGGTCTGATATAATCAGTGGTGCTCGCGCGTGGATACAAAATAATATTTTTTTCTGCACGCCAGATCCCAAGGAAGACAGCATTTTTGGAGACGTAGGCAACACTCTACAGTATTCACGTTTAAATCGCCTATGTTTTCTAACATTGGTCAATTACAACGGCCAGAGGCGTGTTTTTGCTTCCCGAGAGTCACCCTAAAAGCTGTAGTCGATGTAGTCGGAATTCAGCTAATCTGGAGAGTCATCTGTGTTTGATTTGATTCGTTGACTCCAGGAGCTGCAGGACAGGGCCTTGCAGATTAGAGAGGAGGAAAGAGCGATTATTCGAGCACACCTTGGTAAACGGGAAAAGAAGGTGCAGGTCTCAACACCAGAAGACACGGCTGCAAAGGAATACAGGAAGCTGGTGTTTCTGTTTGTCCCCTTCATTCTCTTTTTTTCATTGGGCATTTGCTTCCTCTGTGACACCCCACTCGTTCACCGCGAATTTAGGAAATCTGTTGAGCAAATTATGCAGCCGTTCAGCACAACCGACCCCTTTATGACCCGCGACGCCAATGTCAAGGCTCCGCCCGTATGGATGGCGTCTCACTCGGAATGCAACCCGACGCCTAAGTCTTTTCCTGCCAACCAGCCGGAGGTGAGTCGCTGGTGGAGGAGTTCAAGAAAGCTGTAGAAAGCCCTGGGGCACTTATTACTTCAACGGAGTTGGCGCTCACGCTGCTGTGGTACCTGCGTGCGTGCGCTGTCGCTACTGTGCCTTTTTCCAGGGCATAAAACGTTTTATTCCAATCACTAGGGTCAGGTCCATCGCGGGTGTCTATGATTGGCTAGAGCAGGTTTTAGCTGGTCAAATTTTGAACGCTGCCTACAATTTGCCGTCGACGACAAACGCTATTCCCCTCACAAATCCAGGGGCGTTGTTGCTTTTGACACGAGTAAACCTGGAGTGTCAAACGTTCGAAAAATGTGAGTCCCACATAAACTACTTCTTTATTGCACCAGTGTTCAACTGAAGATTTCGTTCCAGTGATTGTGAGGCGGACGTTACCCGCTGAAAGTGATGTACGCAGTTGCCCGCTGTGATGGTCTCGCGGCTAAGTGGTTTGAAGGCTGTTCTGATTGTGTTGTGCTTTTCTTCTCCAGTGAAGGAGGTGTATCCCGTCCGCCGTAAGCGGACAACCTTTCGCAATTTGACCACCGACGCATATGGAGGGGGAAACTATCGGCCTACACCTGAGCGCGTGTACAGAGTGCCAATATACTTCTCCGGCGACGACCCTCCAACGACAGCCGTGAGCAACGAAAACAGCTCTGGAACACGAAACCGCCGAAGGCTGTCTGCACAGGCTGAAACCCCCCAGCCCACGACTGCTAGACGCCTCTCGGTGGATTCCTTAATAGACATCACGCAGGCTAGCGATACGCACTGGACAGCGGCAGATTTCCAAGAGATCTATGTGGGGCCCACATCAGTGAGAACCAAGATGGAGTATCTGCGATCTCAAGGCTTTCTTGACTGGCAGCTAGTTGAATTGCAAGTTGTGTGGATGAGTTACAATGGAGACTCGAGCATGTTTGTCCTCAACAAAGTCAGTGCCTGGCTGATGCACCCCTTGTCAGTAGTAATTGAATGTAGCAGGCAGTCGAATCAGCTGCTCGCTTTGGCATGCCACAGGCAAGTTAGTCACAGATCTTTATTGTTGGCAGTCTGGTGCGTTTGTGGTATACAGGTCAGTGTTAAAATAGACGAAGGGGGCCTGAACACCAGCTTGAAAGTGACGGTTGTCCCGTCTTGGCATGTCAATCCTGTTGAGACGGGCGTGCGGCCTGAAGTGGTCTTCATGCCACTGGCTCTGGTCTGTTTGTTTGCTTATCTCTTCATGTCGTATATGTCGGTGCAAAAGCGGCGTTTGCACCCCATGAACCTCATCATTCTTGATTTGCCACTGGCACTGGCTTTCGTTTGCTGTTGCTTTTTCTTGGTGTGTATGTACAATGTTGCATTTGACCCCGGCTGGGCTGATGAGCTGAGCTCGCTGACTGTAGCGGCTCCAGGAGCCAGCACAGGGCACATACCGAAGTTTGTCCCAGGCCCTGTGCAGCCATGGCAGTGGCTCCCAGGCAGCTTCAGCAGTAAGCTACAGGCCACCAGCTCTGCCTCTTGGCAAGAATAGCATGCTTTTATATCAAGAATAATTTGGAGCTTTACGTAGCCACCAGCTTTTGTCGTGCGACCTAGCAGGTTTCCTATTTGTCTGTCATTTCACCTCATGATATGCCTCTGTTCTGCCGTCTTCTGTATGATATTTGCAGCTCCCTCCCGGTCTGAGCCTTGTCCTTCTGCCGAGTCCCTCACTCGTTTCCTCCGCCTACAGGAGCACCTTGAGATGATTTCGTATTACCTTTTCTTCTGCAAAATATGCACTGGCTTGCTGTTCATAATAGCCCTAATTCGTTTTATCACGATGGTCCCCGCCATACCCGAGAGAATGCAAGGCTTGCGGAAGCTCCTGTCGCATCTTCACGCGGCCAAGATACAAACGGCTTGCACTTTGTGCACACTCTTCAGCTCCTTCCTGTTATTTGCTTTGATTGGTGAACTGGCACTTAAACAGCTGCGCATTAATGCCCTACAAAGCAGGGAACTAGATGAGGCAGAATATCGGAAGAGATGAGCCTTTGAGGCTAACGCAGGCAGGCAGCCTATGTTCAGTTGTGCTTCAGCCTACTATCGGACTTAAATTATCCCATCGTCCCAGAGGGCGCGCACTGTGTTCGTGCAGTAGATCGAATGAAATTTGGACATGTGTATGATGCTGGTTGCTCTCTGCAGGCTATTGCGTGTTGGGCGGCACCTACAACGGCTTTTCGAGCTACGCAAACGCGGTTGTGTCTTGTGTGATGCTGACACAAGCCAAGTGGAACTTCAACTCTGTGATTACTATACCGCAGCAAGGCCGAAGCATCGGCTGGCTCTTCGAATTCTTTTCCATCGCAGTCTGCATGCTCTTCTTTGGATTCATGAATTACATCGTCCTATCCATGATATACGTCCGGTAAACAACCTCTACTTAAAATGCAGCAGCAGCTCTCGTCATGCTGCTCGCACAAAGGTTGCTCGGTCCCTTACTGAACAATAGAGCAGCATGAGTACATTTAAGGTATCTTTCGCTGGAAAAGGAGGCGATTAGTTAAGCATTAGCAACACTTGCCCAGCACTGTCTGTGCGGGTTGCATACCCGCTCACCAGTACATTTGCGTGCTTCTGCAGATATATATGTATGTGTACATCTATACGTACATCTACGTGTTTACTGGTCCCCAGCAGGAGACAGGGTGTTGCGACTTTCTGCGGCTGGTTTTGCAGCTACGAGTCACTGAAAGCTGAAGAGGTGACGGAGATGCAGACGGCGCTGGAGGCGAAGTATGGCGTCGTGCCCCGAAAGCGCGTGCCTTTGATGGTTAATGAAACAGTAGTCCTTTACTTTAAGGTGAGGTATAAGACGACAATAGGACAAATATTTGAAATACTTCAATACTTGCAGCAGAGCAATGCAAGGATAACATTCCTGCATGTGTCATGTTGTGCGTGTATTTCATGTTTCCAGGCCTTCGTGAAATGTCTCTCATTGCAACAATGGGGGGTTCATCTTGAAGGAGGTCAGCAGGTGAATACCCATTTTGGGAGCTTGAAGGACGAGTTTTTCATGTCTCTCAGAGACCTTCCACAGTTGACCAAAGAACCAAGAAATACCCAGGCAAGCAACCTTCCTTTTTCAAATAGTTTCACCAAGTGAGAACAAGTTTTTTCTTGGTTCTTCTTCCCACACTTCGAGTGGGTCGAGTTCCTACGCATACGCTACAGGTCCTGTTCACGCTTTTGCTTGCTGCGATGCAGGAATACATAAGCAAGGCTCTGCTCTCCACCCAAATTGTTCGGTTGCAGCAGTGCCTCACGGACATTGAATTTCTGCGTGCAAAGCACTACCTAATTCTCCGTGACCTTGGAGTCATCGGTAAGCAGTCTAGAAAGTATTTTTTGGGGTTGCTTAAGACGATGCAGGCGCGACGCAGGAGTTGACCACGTAGTATTTCTGAGTCGTAGTTAATGTTGGTTAGAGTGCTGTCAGTATATCTTCCACTGTTGCCTGCTCTTTTTTGCAGCGGAGCAAATGAAGATTCTCCGAAAGATCACCAGGAGACAGGGAAGATACATAGCTGGGGTGGAAGCCGCCATACAACATGTGAACAATCAGATTGAGGAGGTGCAGGCACGGAAGGAGTTCATTTCGTTCTACTTGCTGCAAGACCCTATGCATGCAAGACAGCAGCTCGAGCAGAACCAGCTACTTGATCTCGGGATGGACATTGGGCTGAACGAAGCAAGAAGGGCAGTTGGTAAGTATTGTTCGACACTTGCGGATTTTGTTATGATAGAAAGAATAGGCTTTGTCACCGCTGCCGTCACGAAAACCCACCTAACAAGTTCTTGACGTGCAGAGTAGTGTTGATTATTATTTGCTTGCAGTTGATCCACGCGCGTATATTCCTGAGTCCCGCCTGGACATAACTCAGTGGGAAGACCTGGAGCGTAGGGAAAGAGTCATAGAGCAACGACAGCGTCACCTGAGGGAAAATACGCCTCCGCCAAGTCTTCATGCTGCCCGCAAGAAACAAATGAAGAAGGACCGGCCTGCAGTAGAGAGCCCTACGCTGCTTCCTCCGGCACCGCTAAGTCCACGCTTCGGCATAGCAGGCCTGGGTACCTCCCCGTCAGCTCCACGCCGCCAGACTGTCCTGCCTATACCAGGGGAGCCTCCATGGAAAGCGTTTGTCACTCCGCAACCAGACAGGCCTTCCGGCCCTGCGAGAGGACAGTCTGTGGACAGTGACGACGAGGATGACTGGGACACTTTGAGGCAGCAGTACGGCGGAACTCACCAGGGAACGTTCGAGCTGCGAGAAAAGGGCGGTGAAATAGTTCTGGTGAAGCCGTTCCCCGAAGCGCCAACAGAGGGGCTGCCCATGGCCACCATAACGCAGCCTCGCAGGCGCCAGCGGCGTTCCTCTGTCAAGAATTCCGATTCTGAGAAAGCAGAGTCTCCGTCACCTCGGGCTGCTGTGGCACGGCCACCAGCAACAAGCCCCGCTGCGGGCGCAAGCTCGCCAATTCCGGTAACAGACTTCTTCAACGAGGACGAGGGCCCAAGGCCCAAGACGAACGCTCCAGAAATTGCGGAAGAGAGAGAGAGAGAAACCAAGGTGCGGCAAAGACCGCCACAGCCCAGGAAACAGGACAGCCGAAGGGCAAGCGTTAATCTGCCAACCTTCGAAGCAGGTGGCAAGGAATTTAGGATGCTGCCTCGAAACAGAAGGAAGAAGTAAACTGCGATATGTTTTTATTGACGCACTTGGGAGGCAAAATGCCTCTATTTGTGTGCGTAGATTCATTCAATTCGTGTCACGCTTTACAGAAGTTCCATGGAAACGTAGCACGAGAAAGAATTCACGTGCGTGCTGATACACTATATGCAACAGCCAATTCATTGGAAACAATTCATTGGAAACAGTACTGAAGTGAGTGAATTTCAACGTCTCCCCTAAATAGTGTAGAGTAAAGGGAGTTTGCGTTTGAGTGGCAGCTGGGACTGGAGGTAAGAAAATTCAGCGGGCTAGTTCTTCTGTGTGTAACATATCCTAATAGATGATCATGGTAACGGTGGGAGTTCCTAGGGCTAGAGAGCGTCTTTTGTTTGCGGCTAATCGCGCTTCAATAGGTGGCTTAGGGTGCGTGAGAGGAAGTGAAGGCAATTGACCAGGGAGTTAAGGAAGCAAGCCGTGAATGCTAGGGAGATTCACACACTTAGAGTGCACACCAACGACCTCTGTGCGTTGCATTTTTCCTAATTTTTATTGCCGTTTTTGTCTATCAAGCCACTGAAGAACAAGACAGGCCGAGGAACCCTAAGGCGGGGGTCAGCTCTCTCAGTAGCTGAGCAAAGGCTGATCCCCTGTGAAGCCTTACGTCGAAAGAATGATGCATGCCAAACAGGGAGCGGAGCAGTGAAGACGATGGCTGACTGCATGTAGGAACCAATCGTTGTTTGTCACAACAAACCTACGCTTGAGTCCTGCTTGTTTTGAAGGGCTCTTCAGTGCT